TGACTTTGAAAGTCCGCGTTAATTAACGCACAGCAGTCGGTTCGTACTTCCAGGAGCTATACCGAAAGGCTCGACTGCAACTAGGTATTAGCTCTTACAAGATCACATGTATTTTTTCTTGTTTCATAAATATCGATATTCCGGTAGTTATGATTGCATCATTGTGCAATCTGAGTTTCACACAATCGTACTGTAGCGTATTTTTACAATTGTACCAAATGTGGAAGGGATATGTACTCACCTTTGAGCCGTTACAAATTGACTCGGACTAGTGGTTAAGACGAACTCTATTCAATTTCGTCTGTGGCGTAGTCGCACGCCCTCATAGCAAGCTAAAATTCTACTGACTGGTTGTAGAGTACTCATCACATCGTGAAATGAGTGTTGACCTACTACAATCAACATCAAACAAGCGTCGTCAAGCCAACTCTCTGGAGAGAGTACGCTTTCTACAGAGAGTACACTTCTACACAAGATTTAAACTTGCTCCGCAAATTAATTTGCCTACAAACACCAATAAACGTAATATAGATCACCAGTTAATATCGTGATTATAGTGAGAATAGCAATTGAATGACATACAAACTCATTTTCTACTTCAGTTTCATAGTCGCTTCCATTCCATTGTTATTACCAATATTTACGTTTATTTCAAGCGCTCTATCGCCGACTTAGCAATGTTAAAACGGTATTAGCGCTCGCTTTGACCAGTCGATGTCGTCTATTATGATAGCCACTGAACGATTCAGGCATGATGCGATAGTTCGAAAGAAATAATTTCGTACAATTTGGATTTTAGTTACAATCGACTCAGGCTGTGTCGCCTTGTAGATCTCCATCGATGATGCTGGTATCGTTCACCGCCTTGAGGGCCAGGTCGAAAGTGGCTATAATTTATATCCTCAGACAGACACGAAGATATGCATTGGCCCTTGCAATGGCACGCACCGTTAATAATTAGCTAGAAAGGGAATTAGCGATTCACTTTATCCATCACGCAGCTACCGATGATGTACTTACTACCTGTCTCAATTCACGATGCCTTGAAGAAGCAGCAACTGAGGTACCCAAAGTAATGCATAGTAGAAACATGCGATTAACCGGTTCAGCTTGATTCAGTACCGGTATCAATTTGATGTACATCCGTCCCCGATCCTGATCTGATGCGACGTGTTAAACACGAAACCTAGCCAGACCCCATCTTGAATATAATCCTGTACAGCCCATCCTGGTCTCTAATCATTACGTCCCAGGCTCTTTGCCGCTCATATGTTACCTGGGAGAAAGAGTCAGTATACCAACTCGACATAGATAGACAAATATCCGGACAATTTGGCGCGATAGCTAGCGATTTGTCGGCGCATTCGGCATTTCTCCACCTCAGACCCCAGTTTGTTACTTTCTTCGGTAAAGACAGCATCTGAAATTGGAACATGGTGCTACGAGGGATTGTCATAGTGGCAGCCATCCTGCAGGTGCTTCAATGTCGGGCTTCGATAAATGCTCTCAATTCGGGTACAAGCTTTGATAACACGGCGCTCTCGCCAACAAACCAATTAGGGCGCGTCCACCCCGCAAAGATTTCCAACAAACAAGAAACTCACACTGCACAAATGGAGGAGCGAGGTTTCTTTGGCTTTGGCGACGATAAAGAAGATACCGGACCTCCTCCATCGGTAAATGATGACGGCACGTTGGTGGTAACCACTCCAATTCCAGGCGCTCCTCCCCATCCAAGTTATGCAGAGATGATGGAAAAATATGGCAGTTTGCTGAAAGAATTTGATACCAACCCGGGATCTGGTCCTGATTCAGGATCCGATTCTGATGACGATGACAGCTCAACTGGCGCAGGTAGTTCGGCCCCAAAAGCTGGGAGCCCGGTCACAAAATCTGATAGCTCGACCGCAAGTTCCGATAAAATGAAGAAAATTCAGGCCTTGGCCGATGCCACTGGCATCTCCACCAGTGCTGCACCAACCTCGGCGACTAGCGCTGCACCATCCTCGGCGACTAGCGCAGGCGCAGGATTAGGCGCCTCTCCAGCTCTGACCAATGACGATCTTGGTGCTGAATCTGGTTTAGGCGATGTCACCGACGAAGATATGGAAATGATGAAAGAGTTGCTGGGGTCGAACCTTGATGCTGGTGGAAGCATGCTTGATATGGATGAATTCATGGCGAAATATGGCGCGGCGATCGATGGTGGAGGGGGTCTTGGTGGTTCAATGTTTGGTGGTTTTGGCCTTCTAGGTGATCCAACACAACCAAAGAATCTCACTGTTGAAGACGACGACATTATTCTTGGAGAACTTTACGGTGGCAAAGAACACGGTGATGCCTTCTCAGACGTCCAGAATATTAAGTTTGGCCAGATGTTCTTGAATATTTCCCTCTTTGGTGGTGAGCGCGTGGACCGAGTGGAACTCCTGACTATTACACAAGAAACGTTAGTGACCATGGCCCACGGTGGCAAAGGCGGACAACAGGGTTTTGTTGAACCTGATTTAACCGACACGATCACATCAATCGAGGTTCACTGGGATAAAAACAAGGGAAAGACGTGTATTTTTTACATGAAATTAACAACCTCAAAAAATCACTTTGTTGCCACGGGTATGAAAACCACCAACAGCGTGGTTATAACACCACCCAAAGGCTATCGATTCGCTGGGTTCCACGGTCGCTCTAACAAATATGGCATCTTTTGTATTGGCGCGATCTGGACTAAAGAAACTGCGTCTGACCTCAATCCAAATGATGTGATGGCCCTCCCGCCACAAGCTTCGTCTGATGTCTATGCATACAAGACTACGATTCGAAATTGGGTTGGACCTGTACCAACTGCAGTTGATGGTGCGTGCTATCAAAAACGGTTTGAAGTAAGCCATGAACGCTTGTGTCCGTCTGGCTACAACAAAAATAATGGCTGGTGCGTTGCTCAGTGTCCTCTCGACTACCCTCTTGATTGTTTTATGGAGTGTATTCCCCAAAATGCTGATTGCGCTCAGACGGTTATTGCTAAAGTTGGTGCGGTTCTGACCATAGTTTTAAATGCGGCAACATTAGGTACCTACGGTGCGCTGATAGCTGCTGGTAGAACGGCAAAGTTAGCACTTACATGTGCCATCAGCATTCTTAATGCAGTCAAGTCGCTCCTATTCTACTTGCGATACACACAAACTACGATCCCCGTGACGGATACTGAAAAGTTGATGGACCACGCCTTCCAACTCCAAATTGTTCTTCTAGATTTGCCGCTAGCTATTTGTTCTTGCTTCGGCATAGAAATTCCACCAAGACTGATGTTTTCGATTTTTGTATTGAGTGTTGTTTCAGCTATTGTCATGATAGCCGTCTCGATTGGTGAAGCCTTATTTGGGTCAAAAGAAAATGTCATGCTCATGCTTCGAGAGTCGGGTGCTATGAACACATCCTCTCTGAGTGGTGATACCATATATCTTGATGAGTTCCTGAATAACAAAAGTACAACGTGTGGGTACCAAATCAGAACCCTGACGAATCGCGTGATCGGCAAAGTCATGGAAACGCGCAACAATACGCCTAATGCTGATATTGAGGATGTGCGTGTTGCAGTGAGCAAATCGACAATTCTCACGGACGACATTCCTATTGTGACGAATCATTGCATGGGTGAGATATGGGAGAACAAGACATCTGCTGCGGCTTTTGAGACGCGTAACATGTTGCGGAAAACACTGCGAGTGATTATCGAACAACTTATTGAAGACGGAACGACCGACATGGGCAAGGAGCTGCACCACAAGGAGAAAGTCTTTGAGTATACTAACATGGGTCTTTTCTTTCTCGCTATGCTTGATCCGACGGGTATTGCGTGGGTGGCTTCCGAATTTATTCAACCCATTTGCGGTCCAACAATGTACATTGGTGAGATTGACGATGGAACCTTGTACAACGCTTTGGGCCTAAAAACTATGGACCAAGCATTCATTGGGAGCTATGGGATCTGGAAGAAAAAAGGTGATGGTTCTGTAACAATTCACTTTGAAAGTGTAGACAAATATGACGTGGCAGTGGTGATTAAAATTGCGGGTGAAGAGACTGAAGAGGTACGCGTTCCTTCTAATGGCAACATTACGTGGACATCAACGGTGGAGAAGCTGCAGGATAGAACATTATACTTAGATCGTTGGCGTCCAGGCCTCTTTGGCATTCCTGGTAAAGGGGGAGGATCGCTTCTGATGTGGATTCCTCGATCCTCTGAAGGTGGTAAGCTGATTCTGCATGCGCGCCTTAATGTTAGCTAAGCAATCTTTTGTGATGACTTCTCGGAGAGATATTAGTAAGAATATCACATATATATATGATTTCTGTTCATGTTAATTTGTAATTATTACTTGACAATGCAATATTGATTGAAAATATGTAAGTGATGTTTTGCACCCAATTTGTACATCATTTGGCCTCTTACTGCTACATAGTTGGTTTACAGAAAACATGTTTACGAATACATCTTAAATTAGGTTTTGATGAGGTCGCAAAAGCTGAACAGGCTAGATAAGTTGTCATAATAGAGCATTGAAGTATATCTTGTTCTTTGTATGGAATTGAATGGAACGTTATAGGAAGCCATAGACAGATGGTGATAATTGTCAATATTCTCAGTCCGGATATCCACGTGTGAATACCTCTATGCACCTAATACCTTATCGATGTTCAATAAAGCACTTGTCACAAATCAATATTCTGAAATACCATGTGTTCAATGTTATATCTAGATAGATATGTAGGGAATGTCAAGTATGCTGATAAAAATATAAATTAATGTGGGCACTGGGGTGCGACGAAAGCAATTAAGGCCAACATGCGTATAATATGAACTCTGTCTTGCATGTCTGGATAACGCGTTGCCTTTGGCATACCCACACCTCTTTGTTTAAGGCTACAAGCGAGAATTGACGATTGTTGGATAGCGTAAGAGCTTCTATCAACGATAATCGATTCCAAATTTTTGTCTTCAATTACATTCAGGAAGTTTAACGTTGTGTGTAATACATCGCAGACAACGGCGATATCATAAAAACTCGCCGCAATTTCTAGTGACCAGTCCAATCATTGGAGTTTACGGATTAAGATTGCGAGTTGCTTCTTAAATTACGGTCACGATACAGAGACGGCCGTCTGTAAAGCGTATATTGATGATTATTCACATTGATAGCATCAACCACTTGCTTGCGATACTAAACATTTCCGAGAAAACAACGCCGTACACTTACCTGGAAAGCGTGCACGATAAAATGACTCATTTGTGGCCTAATTGACACATAATACTTAACTATTCCAATCATTATATGAACGGACAGGTTGACCTTGGATGTGCGCCTAACTCGACCATACTCAGAGCTGCAGAAGTAAGAGACTGTCTTTTACCATGACTGTTGCTTCGTCTTGCTTTCGTCAGCAGACAAAGATAATCTGCAAGAGTCAGCACTTGAAATATCGTACAGCATTTTGATGTTGATAGTTCGTTTGTGATGAACACTAGATGTCTGCGGGCGATAGGTGCTTTAGTCTATTATAGGTCATCTACTTCAGATATCATATGAAGTATGCGTGACAGAAGCCTATATTTGAGTCGGACACTCACTAAGAAAATTTAAATGGGACGGGGGCCCCACTCAGCTTCTTATATACGGCAATATGCGATCATATTTGTTTGAAGTGGGCTCTGACTTGCAATCAACGACTGAAAGTTTTCCATATTCAAACCATTGTTCGTTAAAAACACATTGTGCAGATGTTTTACCAGGCCATATGCTTCTATATGCGAAATGTTGACCAGCCAGGATAGCACGATAGCCTTAAAAATTTGGAAAAGAACACACTCACCTAAGCGCAGGCAGCATGTAGCATACGTAACGGCGAAAAGGAGCGCCTATGTAGAAGCTACCAAGGCAAGTAAAAACTCGTACAGTGCACAATCACGATAACTTTTTGTGAAACAGCCATCCTAATGAATATGACAAACAGGACAATGAAGGAAGAGATGAGCAAATCATTCCAAGGTCCAGATTGACCAGAATAAACTGGGTATATATCCCGGTGAAATTAATATATACATTATCGCAAGACATCGACACTAAACAGCAGTATCATTTTTATACGTTCTGACAACGCGATAAGCTCCAGTGCTGTACCGTCGCGACGAGAGCCGTAATCGAGCAAAAGATATTAAGAGCCAGAAATATCGTCCAGCAAATTTAAGTTCTCAAATGATTGGTCATTTGATGCTTTTGTGACTGTCGTGTTGATATTACTGGTATACGTTTGTTAGCAAACCAGAGAAGGTTTTACGACTGTCAGAATAGCAGCTTAGGGAGTATAGCAACGAGCTTAGTAGTAGTTACTAAGGTCTTCCACTCTCATAAAAAGCATCCTGTATGTTGTCACAGGAGAGGTCACAATTGAAGCTGGACACACACGAAGACAACAGCTACGATCACGCAATTGACAACTGAGAAGCCAAATGTATCAGCACATCTCATGTCATTGTTCATGGCGTTGACGTCAAGTACAAATTCTAGTTTGCTCCGTAGGATTGTCGATTGCCTCAAATCGTCAGTCGCAAAATGGTGTGGTGCACTCGATAATGGCTGATGACTTCTCTAACTTTCTTAAATACTTAATAGTGATTGAGTGAATCAAACAAAAACCGTATGTTGTCCAACTTGCTGCATGCAGCGGGGCTGCCGTAGCTTAGCGCTTGAGGAAGCGTAATTTAGGTCAGCGACCTTTCGTTATTTACAAGAACCAATACGAGTGTAGCGGATCGCAATCCGCTACCTCCAAGATTAGTTAGTACCTTAACCAAGGCTTATCAACTCTTCGGTTTCAATTCAAAGCTGAAGCTTATTTATTTTTATCTCTTTAATTTAAATGTATAGATTTTATTAAATATATATAGTAAAATCTAAATACATGCATAACTACTG